GATCTGATGAAGCCTAGAAAGGCCAAACCTGTAATCAAATATAGGTCAATGCAAAAGTTTTCAATTTGCCATATATATATATATATATATATATATATATACACACACACACACATATATATATATATATATATATATATATATACATGTATGTATATATATATATGGTGCGATAGTGAAATTATCGTCTAAGTTACACACAAATGAAAATAAAACAAATATTGCATTTTAGCAGTTGGTGAATGCTGCTATAATCCTTGCCCTCAATTCATAATTAGTGGTACAAGGAGTTTTATTGGTCTCTCGCGCACTTCCGCCCCACACATAATAATCACGGGATTTGCAGTCTGGGGAGTTTGGTGGCCACATGTAAAGGATGATGCGGTCGCAGAAATTGTCCAACAGCCATGACTGGGTTCTCCTGATTGTTTGGCATGGTGCATGATCTTGTTGCCAGACATATGATCTTCCAACAGCCACCCTCTTGACCTCAAGGCCCTTGATATAGGTTGCTGTGTTGAGTTTGAGGCTCTGTGAGAAGATGAATGGAGGCATAACGTCGTCATCACTAGTGACCACTTCAAACATCTTCGTAATCACCATTAGACTCATCCAATTCCTTCCGAATCCTTTGCAATGTCTTCAAATTGATAGCCAAATACACTGAAATGTTCGTATTGGAGCTTCCGGTGCGAATGCCTAGTAGTACATCATGCCTTTTCTAAATTTCTAGAGGAATTAATTGCATCATAGTCGTGTTTTTCTCATAGGCAACGCCCAAAGTTGGTCCCCTGTGCTGCGCCCGGAATTTTTTTCTCGTCGGAGTCGATCCTTCAGATCTACAAATCAACGATTTCCCCTTGCATGGAGTATTGCTGTCATATATGGTTTAGAGCCCCTTCTGTTTGCCTCGGGGTACTTGATAAAATCCAAAGACGGATATGCAATGTAATTGGACCTGATCTGGCATCTCGTCTGCAGTCGCTCTCTCACAGACGTGCCGTCGCCTCCCTCTGTCTTTTTTTACAAATGCTTTAATGGTAACTGCTCCGATGAGCTGCTTTCGCTGGTTCCCAGACTTCATGAATTTAAGCATTCTACGAGGCTGGCATCTCGCTCTCACCCTCTCACTGTCGAAACTGTTAAATGTAGCCGTCTCTTCTACTCCAATAGCTTCATGTCTCGCACCTCTCGCCTGTGGAACTCCCTTCCCTTTTCCTGTTTCCCTGATAGCTATAATCTTTAACTATTCAAATGTAACGTCAATCGCCGTCTTGATCTCTCCCCTATCCTTCTTTTCACCCTTTCCTTTATCACTACTCTTTGCTCTCGCTCCAACTCTCTGTAACCCTCTGCATGCTAATGGCTCCCCACCTTGCTTGGGGTGGAACGCTTTAAAAAAAAAGAAAAAAAAAGAAAAAATCTTACATTACTATATTGCGCAGTCGACAAAATCATATACAAATAACGCGCATGCGTGAAATTAAAAATATAAAATGGCGACAATTTATCAATCGCACTGTATACACACACACACACACACACACACACATATATATATATATATATATATATATATATATATATATATATATATATGTGTGTGTGTGTGTGTGTGTGAGAGTGTGTGTGTGTGTATAAAATATTTAATGTCATTTTCGATAATCGCACGGGCATTTGCGAGAGAGGCGTCATGGCTAAAATTAATTTAAAATCGCCATATAAAAATGAATTCAATTTTCATATAATTTATACCAATCGATAAAAGGAGAGTCATAAAATCTTTTGATATAAAAGTATTCTTATCTAATGGAGATCAAGTTAATATTTGTAATTAGGTTTTTTCATGTGAATAAAAATTTAAATATAATGCAGCAATAAAAAGATCATTCGAATGCCTGATTAAGTCGCAATATAAAATTCTAGTGAAATGCAATTAATTAATAAAATTTAATAAAACTTTCTGTTCTTATCTAATCAATGATTACATTCAGCAAAAGGTCTTGTTGCAAAAAATTAGCGAATTTCTGAGAACTAAATAATCTAGTAATGAGGTCTAATTAAAACCCGCTTGATTCGAAATAACTTTTTGCCAACAATAATCATGTGAATGACTATATACGAATTACATATATATGCAGACCCCGTTACGTAATAACCAGATCATTTCTTCTTGGACATTCGCAGCTGTTAAGGCGTCTCTTGACTGGCTGAATGAGTTTTCGGAAATTATACTGTCATGACAGATATTTGTCGATTTATTTAAATTTGGAGAGCCATTCAAAAGAAAGCAGATATTTTATCTCGCGCTGTTATTACGAACCACCTGTAACATATAACATTACATAGCTTTCACTAATGCAACTTGTGGAGTGTTTACTACATTGCATGTTCTCCTATGACCAGCGAGGCCAAAGCTGGAGAGGCAAGCCTTCCACAGCACAACATGTGGAGGTGTTAGCAATGGTAGGAATCTCCCCAACATTCGATATTGCTTCTTCTATCCTGCTTTTTGGTCTGTTATTTATTCACACACACACACACACACAGATATATATATATATATATATATATATATATATATATATATATATATATATATATATGTTGTTTGCTCGAATGCCTCTTCTGGACTGACAAGGAAAAAGGATCTAGAGCCAAGGGGATTGCAAATTAGTCTATATGCACAAAGTGACACTAGAGCAAACATAGGATAGATGAGGCTGACACCTGAGTTCAAACACAGGTCAGTTTATTGTTTCCGGGTAAATTATAAAAAGGGGTTTCTTTGTATGTGACACCGGATAAACCGAAAGCACTCTCATTATATGCCTGT